TTGAGAATCAGTGAACGAGGATTCAGCTAGACTTGCCAAGCGCAGCCGGTGCTCGGCACTCGACAAGACCGTTATCTTGTCGCGCATTCTCGAGAATGTGCGATCAATCTGGAAGAGTTATTTTTTGCCAAGATTGAGCAAGGATCCAGTTGCACATTCTCAAGAATGTGCATGCCCATTCTCGAGAATGCGTGATTTTCAAGAATGGGCACAACATGGACTAATTACTTTTCAAAATTTCAACTTCCTTTCGGCGTACTGTGAAAGATTCCATATCTAGTCTGGACATTACTCATTTAGGAGTAATTGCAGAATACCCGCCACTCGGAAATAAACCCCTAAATTCTCTGGCTACGACGAGGTTGGAATCACTGGAATTAGTGGAAAAGAAACAGTTCAAGTACCCTGGCCTGCCAGCTACGCGGATACTGGGGGTCCATTATTTGAGAACGAAGCAAACACAAAAGGAATGGGATAAGTTGCTGAAAAAATTCTAAGTCCAAACCAACCACCCGTTGGCGCTACAAGGCTACGGACATGACGGAGGTGGGAGTGGAGTCCCAATTATCATGATTATGCTTGAGAACGAAGCAACACAAAAGGAATGGGAGTTGCTGAAAAATTCTAAGTCCAAACCAACTACATGTACCCAGTTGCCGGCTACGCGGATACGGAGTGGAGTGCAGTGGGGACCATGACGCATAGTACATGCAAGTAGCGCTGAGGAGGTTTATTGAGGTCAACCAGCCGTGACCTCGTAGCCGGCTACGAGGTGGACCGTGGATAGATCGAGTGGCGGGGTATTCTGCAATTGTGCCCTCATTTCTCCCTTCATTTCTCTCCATTCCGGTTTAAAATGTCCAAAAATATTGATTTAGCAGGGAAATTTAAATTTACCAATGAATTAGTCCGAGTAACTTGGACCAAAGTTATCGCCTTTTTAGCATTCGGACTAGTCCGAGTAACTTGGACCCAACTTAACGCCTTTTTTAACATTTGGACATGGTCTGGTGATAGTAAGGTCCAAGCTTATAGTGCGAGCTGGACAACATCATCCTGTCACTGTCATTATGATTTTCGGTTCGCTCGGAGCGTGCCGCGGGGGGTACGGTACAAATAGGCATACCAAAAGCAAGGGCGCCACCACATAAAAACGTCGGAAAAATCGCCATTCCCAGCGGTAATTTCCAGCTTCAAAAATTATTTCTCACTAGAAAAAAAGTTACAACATATAACAGAGTAGATCTACGTACAAAATTCTCAGTGTTCCACACTTTAAAACAGGTCCGATCTTAATCTGATGTCGATATGAAACAAAAACAACGACCGAAAATGAACGAAAACGCAAAAATTGACTTTCAAATTTGCCGGCCAAAATGGTCCACTTAAAAGGGATAATATGTCCAAAAATGTCGGATTTATAGCAGGGAAAGTTGCTACCATGGCATGCCTACTGAGAAAACATGTCAAAGGACATTTCCTAGTCTTTGTTGGTCAGTGACGTACGTCTGAGGTATGGGAGTCTTTCCGGAGTATTTTTGAATGCTTTGCATACATTGTTGGGTAAGACCTCTTTTATAGCTCCATGATTGTATAGTCATATAGTCAGCAGGGCCAGGGCCTATTGTTTTTAGTTCACCGCACCTACCCCAATTAAGAACCCAGTATCAATGCACACATATAGTGGTGTTCCCTAACGTGGCGCACTGCGACGTTTCTCCTGACTTTCCTCATGCACGGTTGCCAAACTTCTTTGTTGATAAACTTCGAATTCATTCAGTTATTACTGGTACTTTTTCAGTAGTGTTTGCCATTTTAACTTCTGACAATTTCACTGTAATACAATTTTGAGCAAAATTTATAAACGGTGGCGTCCGGAAATTGGCCAAAAATCAGCTTAGTGTTCCCTAACACAGCGCACTTGCGTAAATCTTGGAAAATTCCAGGTTAACACTAAAAAAGTTATTTAAAGTTAGCAAATTCTAAATTAATAAATAAAAATATCTCTACTTTACCCAACTAGAAGAATGTAAGAAAATTATTTTCTTATTTTTGGGTGAGTATATCAGTGGTGAGTTGAAGGTAAATTGTTTCCCGATGATAATTTGAGTTAGAAATGTGATTCGGGTTTGTAACTTCAGGGTTGCCCTTCAGGAAAATCAAGTTTGGATTGATTTGGGGGTCAAAAGGTCAAAGGTCAATGTCATTGGTCAAGGTCTAGGTCATTCCATTGACCAGTGTAACTATTCTACTACATGTACTTGTAATTTTGCACCTTATATCAACAAACTCAGGCCGAGGGGTTTCAACAGCACCGTTATATTTTTTTAGGAAAGTTGCAGTAATGTTTATTGATTCATTTTATTTCATCAACAGCTTTGAAAATGGAGTTGAGGCCAGACAGACAGGGGGCATAGGACTGCATATTTGCTCTCAGGTCATTTTATCTAATGCATTTAATGTTAGACACTATTCGTTTTTGAACTTTTCTCCAAAAACCTGAAATATTTATTGCCAATCGCCCTCTAATATTTTAAGGACCAATTTTTTTTTGAATTATTCTTGACCATTTATTTGGTGAACAATTTTGACCATGTCTGACTTGAGGCGTTTGCATGTTGATATTAGTGCTCAGGCATCAAATTACGTCAGGAATCGACCACTAGTCTCGCCCCAACTTGCTCATAGTTGTTTCTGTGGCATGGTTTAGCTGTATTTGTCCTTTTTTGGGGAAAAAAGTAGTGCAGGTGGGAAAATTATCAGAAAAAACTAAGATGACATTTTTGTGTGTTTACGTTTCTAGAGTTACTTCTACAAGGACGATAGGTTCAACTACAACTATGCGCAGGCCAAAGCCACAGCAGGCAACTACAAGGAAGCAGAGGAGGTAGGTTGGACTCCCGGACCCAATTTTGGTTGTTGCGCCCTCAATAGTTGGCCAGTCATGGCGCAGTGACTCGTCATGGTGCCTGAACTAGTCATGGTGCCTTTCATTTGCAAACATCAAACACCAAAACTACCAAGTTATTATGAAATACCTGACTGTTAGGGAGTAATAGTCTCAAGCATCCTGTGAAATCACGGCACCTGGTGTGCTGTCATTTCAAGAAAAGTGAAATTTTGTATCAATTTCCACCGATGGTCGGCCCTGTTTGAGAGAGAAGCCTGACTTTCTGTCTGTTCTCATCCATATACTGTTGCCGTATACCTAGATGTAGAACAAAAAGATATTCCAATAGCTTATTTTCCCACGTGCTGCATCTCTTTGGAATTCCTTGCCTGGTGCTTATTTCCCTCCAACCTATGATCTGTCCTGATTCAAGAGGAGTGTGGAGAGCTGTGGCCTCGTGGTTAAGGGCGTTGGATTCGTGGTCTGCGGTAAAGCTGCAGGTTGTGGGTTCGAGTCCAGCCTGGGGTCATGGTGCGTGTGCCCTTGGGCAAGGCACTTTGTCACTCATTGCTTCTCCCCACCCAGGAGTAATAGGCTCTCAGCTTTGGTCCAAAAAATTGGGCCACCGGTACCAGACGATTGAAAAGAGCAATGCTCATAGCGATTTTGTGAAAGGCACATCTAGAGTTGGAGAATGTGTGATAGCTTTGCAGTGTGAGTGGTGGCAGTGTTATCACTTTTGATTTGTGTTTTCAAAATTGCCGTCAATATGCTTGAACCGGATAATTGTATGTTGTAACAAGCATGTTTTAGCCACCATTTAAAAAGAAAAAAGGGATAGCACCCAAAAAGCTGCCACCGCTGCAATGCTGTCACATATTTTCTGACTAGAGGGGTGCATACCTTGCCAAAAATCACAATGAGCATTATTGCCCTCATTTGATACTGACCAAACCCCCACACTGATGGCTTATAAGTGGGTGCCTATGAGGGCAGAGATGGTGTGGTTGATTTAGCTGCTTTGCTCCGACTTGTAGCCCTGTATATCTGGAGTGGCTTTTAGCCTTGTTCAGGGCAAATAGGCATAAAAAAAACAAGTCTAAAACCCAGATGGGGATCTTTCTGTGCCTCCTAGACCACTGTTTGGTGGGGAACACTTGGTTTTACCGCTTTAATTGGAGTGGGTTTCGTTTTTCTTGTTTTCCAGATTTTTGTGCTCATTCAGAGTGAGAAGATCAAGAATGACTACACGTGTCTCTGGTTGGCAAGATGCTGTGAGTATTACCGTCAATTGTGAATGACGTTTCCTCTTCCAACTTCCAAGTTGCTAATATGGGAATGAATCCACCTGTTAAGCCTCAACTCATAATGTATTGACCACTCACAATTGAGACTGCACAACCAAATGTCCAACTAAAGTCACGACACGTCGCGTGCATGCATTTCATGTACTGCTGGAAAATCCAGAGTGGCATTAGGGAGATGCACATGTTGCCCATGTGTGAGGTAGACTGAAGGGTCTCTAACAATGACATAACCAGCATGCAATCATCGCCCTGATTGTATATTAAGGATGTGACTTTGCGTTTCATTTTGTAAACGTTAAGCAAATATTTTAAGAACTGTTTTAAACGTTTAGCCATTGACAGTGGCTTTTGCCTACCCATTATGTCTGATCTGCAGACCGGCGTGATTGACATGATAAATCAACAATGGTTGACATTGTAAATAGCAGGCAGTCGTTGATAAAGTAAAAATGTAACTACGTGTTCCCCAAATGTAATCAAGTACTACGGTGCTTCTAAGGTTTTGTAAATTAAGGAGGATTTGAAAACAACGTTAATTATTTGTGCTATGCTTCTAAGGTTTAGTAAATTAAGTAGGTTTAAATCTGTGTTAATTAGTATGTGTGGTTATCTCCAAGGAAGATCGCGTGAACAGAACTCCCTTTTCTATAATTCTGGTTTTGTTTACATGTTTTGAGAAATTTGTAAACGGATTGAGAAGTTTTTTCGTTTAAACGTGTAAACTTCACATCTTAGTCGTACATTTGCCATGTTGGATTTGCTCAATCACATTTCAAGCAGATTGTACGACAGAAATTTGCTACATTGAACATCCCTCTTGGCTCCCAAATATTGTACACAGTTACACTGAGCATTGCTGGACGAAAATTGCTAAAACGAGCATCCACTGAACCGAACCATCTTTTGTGGACCCCAATGTGTTTTCTTACAGCAGTATCCTATGTATTTATAACCTTTCTTTGTGTTGTTTTCGTTGTTCAGACATCGTGAATCGTAAGGCCAGACTAGCCTGGGAGTTGTACCTTAAGATGGAGACGTCTGGCGAATCGTCCAGCCTGCTGTAGCTCATTGCCAACGACGGCTACAAGGTAAAACATCATCCCCTAATTTTTGTATGTTTGGTCAAGATTTTGGCATTAGCCCTAAATTAGTATCTAGTCACTCAATCTCAACCTGCAGCCGATTTCACAAAACACATTTGTCACTTCGGCAAAACCCAAATCGTAGAGGAAATGTCAATCTAAATATAACACACTTGTAAAAAAGAATGCACATATCCAGACGCCACTTCAGCCGTTGTGTACAAAGTCTATGGCGAGTCAAGAAAACTTTCCAAGTATTTCTGAACAAAATTGGAAATGTTTCTCAGTCCCATATTCATGTTTGTGAAACATTTTTGCAATGACTGATCTTTATTGAGATGTGTGAAGACAAATGTGGCATCAGGTTGCAACATTGTTCCCATGTGTAAAATCAACGAGAATACAAAACTGGTCAAAAAAGAAAGAAAAAATGATTCGTTGCACATTTACCACTTTGTGTCATTAGCTTGAATAATGAAGGATGCATTTTTGTGTCGCAAACTTTGGTAAGCATGTAGAGGGAATCTCAAAATATTGAAATAGCCAAAAATCCCAAACTGCTTAAAATATTGATTTTGACAAATTCATCACTTTGTCAACAAGGTGGCGATATGATCGAAAACTTCAGGCTTTTCGTTCGAACTTCTGATATTTTTTGCTCGACCTCAAAATATAATTGTCACGGTCTCTCGATCCTCAAATCTCATCTTTTCTATCGGTAGATGGCCAGTTCTACTATATGCGACCAAGGCTTTCGATGTCCTGGAAAGATTGGACCCCAATCCTGCATACTGGGAAGGCAAGCAAGGGGCGTGTGTGGGCGTATTCCAGCAGATCATAGCTGGCCATGAACCAAGGTGGGTGTCATCTCTGTCAATCAGCAGTGCACACTGACCAATCAGATCAACTTATGGTCAGGTGACCACACTACATCTATCAAACAGTGTGCACTGACATATCACTCCGGTGCTCTACCAACTGAGCTATCCAGCCCAATGTTGGCGGTTGCCTAATTGTCAATGTCTCTGTCAAAGGGGCGCTAGTCAGAAGCCCTCAACCCGCATATGCCATGCAGCCAGGGATCACGCCCAAAGTCACGATGCAGACCTGGGAAATATCAAACGGGGATCACTCAGAGAGGATACGGCTTTTTATTACAAATCTTCATGAATACTTTGCAACTTCTTAGCCCTCTAGTTCAAATTCATTGATCTTTATGGATTTTTCCTTTTTCCCCCTAAATTCTATAAACAGCTTTCATTTTCACTATTAGGTTTTGCCCTTCACTGACGTATAAACACTGTATACTCAGTGCGTTACCTCCCGAGTTAAAGTTGAAAAAATTACTCGGTTGGGACTCGAACCCATGACCTCCTGCTTGTTAGTGCAGACGTCTTAACCACTGGACCATCAAGCTTACAGAATTGGTTGCCTGGCCAGCCAACCAACCCCGTAAGCTCGATGGTCGAGTCGTGGGTTCGAATCCCACCCAAGTGATTATTTTCCAACTTTCACTCGGGAGGTAACACACTGAGTATACAGTGTTTATACATCGGTGAAGGGCAAATCCTAACATTGATTTACATCACCCCGACGCAAAGTCCATCTTGTTAATAGCTTTCATTTTCATGTGCACAAAACCCAGTGAAGTTCAAGCCACTAGATTTTTGTCATTTTTTTTCCTCTACAGAGGAACACTGCGAGACATCCTCCAAATCTTGCGCATCACCGGTAACCCACAGGTGAAATACATCATCCGTGTCATGAAGAAGTGGGCCAAGGACAACAGGGTACCAGTTTCCTGAGGTGGTCCCTATCCTAGTCTTGAGATGCTTAAATTTGTACATTCTAAAAAAAACCTGCTTCGCAAAGGGATTTTCCAAAAATAAAATAATGGAACGATACTGTTGATTAAGAGTGATTTAATTATTCTTGACGCATGGGAAATTTGCCTTGAAATATTTCTCTATTTAGCTTTGGCAAGATGGTTATGCAGGAGAAAACAACAGTTCTGGAGAGAGGCTAGTCTCTCATGGCATAAACAAAGTAGGCTTGCCTAGTTAAGCTGGACTCTGTGACTCAGTCAGTGACTCAGTCAACGACTCAGTGACTCGATCAGCGACTCCATGATTCAGTCAGATTCGGTCAGTGACTCGGTGAGCGACTCAGTGACTCGATCAGCGACTCAGTGATTCAGTCAGATTCAGTCAGTGACTCAGTCAGTGACTCAGTCAACAACTCAGTGACTCGATCAGCGACTCCATGATTCAGTCAGATTCAGTCAGTGACTCAGTCAGTGACTCAGTGAGCGACTCAGTGACTCGATCAGCGACTCAGTGATTCAGTCAGTGACTCAGTCATTGATTCGGTCAGCGACTCGGTTAAGGAATCACTCAGTGACTCATTGAGCGACTCAGTGGCTGTCATCAACTCAGTGACTTGGTCAGTGACTCATCGCGCAGTCAGTGATTCGGTCAGTGACTCGGTCAGTCAGTGATAATAGTGACTGACTCGATCAGTTAATACTCAGTGACTCGTTCAGACAGTCAGTCAGGCAGCATTGAAATGTTCATCATAATTGTGAAGGTTCACGTCACAAATGTTGCTTACATGTAGGACAACTCTGCAAGTTTGTTTTCTTGGAGTTGCTGGGGCCTGTTTAGAGACAACCCAACGGCATGAGAATGGGCCAGGAATGGTTATTCAAGAAGGGGGGTAGTCATCTGTACGTAATGTAATTATACTTATTAATGGTTTATATTGATATGAATATACATGTGCAAGTTTTCAGAGCACGTTTGTCAGGCAATTAGGGTGTAAGGTCCAGAAGGCAGGAAACAAATTGAAAATAAGTGATTTGAACTGAGCCCAATTTCATAGCGCTGCTAAGCACACAATTTCTGCCAGCAGAGCCTCTCCGTCTATCTATCACATTGTCAATACTATATTTTTTTCATGTACAATATTGGGAAAGAATGTTGCAACCTGATGCTGCTTTTTCTTCATATCATCTCAATGAAGTCATTCATTGCAAAAATGATGATAAGACATGAATCTGGGACTGAGAAATACTTAAGAGAAATTTTTTTTGACGCTCCATAGACTTTGCACACAACCGCTGAAGTGGCGTCAGGTTGCAACATTCTTTTCCAATATTGTGTGATATTCTGACTTCATTTCTTTATTTCATCTGTAAAAACATTAAATGTTTACTGCCTTTCTTTAAAGGGAAGATACAACATTTGCAAACATCACAAAACGAAATGATCAAAATATCGCGAAATACCTTACTGGATTGTTGGGGAATGACAGTCTAAAGCATCCTGTGAAATCGTGGCTCCTGATGTGCTGACATTTTTAAGAAAAATTGTACTTTTCCAACGCTGGTCGGCCGACCAGCATTGGAGAAAACTGGCTATTTTTCAAAAATTGCTCCGAATTTTTCATAATTAGTTATTCCGCATTTTCTTTGCAATTGATTACACACCTGTGAAGAGGTACAAGTCTGCTAGACTGATTCTCTGACCTTACAATTCCCCAAAGTCTATTAATTGCTCCGTTTTATCTTATAAGTGGGGTCACCAGACTGCAAATACATGTCTGGTTTTCTTGGCTTTTCCAGCATCTACAAGCCCAAATGCGAAAAAAGTCATTTTAACAATATTTGCTATAACATACTAATCCTCCAAATCCATTTATTTCTGAAAATTGCAGCAAAAGCAAATGTTGTACATTCCCTTCAAGTCCGATAAATCTTATCTTGCAGTGTAAATATTGTGTAGGTGAATTTTAAAAGTAAATGTTACTTTAAGGATTGTTGAAATGCTGTGCATAGTTTTTTGAATAAAGAGATATTAA